ACCACATTTTGTTGAAACTCTATATTCCATATGGTACCACGATGAAATTAGATTAATAAAACCATTTGCAAACTTTCTAAAAAAAAAATCCATTAAAATTTAATGTATTTTGTGAATGTTTCACTATAAAATGCGAATAAAAATGTAAGATTTGAAGAATTTGCCTGAGGATTTCCTCTCCATCTCAGCAACAAAACTAGTGGTAATAATCTCACGTCTGCATCGGTAATTTCCCTCGCATAATTGCATCAATTTCATAGATTTATTCGTCGGCAAATAAAATCGACAGCCGTTTAAACATAAATGACCGCAAATTGCAGAAAATTGATTCAGATCCACGGAAAATTGGTTTCCATTTCCGCAGATTCTGGATCAATAAATCAATCGTTTTTGCTTGCGAAGCTTACTAGGAAGAAAATTGGAAGCGTTTGCATTTGAAGCGTGCTCGATTATTGCCTCGAGGTCCTTCTGAATCCTTATACTAAGCTAAAAAAAATCTTCGAAATCTACCGAAGTGAAAGTGAAGATGATGACGGAATGGGCACGCATTAAATCGTATATATGTATAAAATATTCATGGTAATGGAGCTGAGACTCCTCTTCCGCGTGGTTCATACTTACAATACTTGCAGACTTTTCACACTATGTAGCTGTAAATCATGTGCACAGAGACCTTTCTCAATTACTCAATACCAGATCGACCTTAGGAGAGAAAGAATGTGGAAAATTGAAGCGATTCAAATGTCTTGAAAAATTTTCATTACGCCCTCGGCTATTCTCAATATTTAGTATTCGATGCATATACAACACTTTCATATTTAACATTTACATAATACAAAAATTTATAATAAAAAAAATGACATTTCCTAGAACATAATTGCTTACACTATTATTCTTGTTACTAATTAATTCTCCCACGATATTCCATTTTTGATTGGTTAATGCAAGATTAATTATATAAGTTTTGTGCATAGTTATGTAATAAATATTTTGATGTTAAATACCATTTATTGTTAATAGATGCAACAATTACATCCAAATTTTTACTTTATTTTGTCAAACAATTCTAATTTAAAAAAATATTGTAGAATTTTGATGCAAATAAATTAAAAATGTTAATAAATACAAAAAATAATTAATTATTTAATAAATAATTATTTTTTTTTATAAAAGGATAAATTTAAACTTTATTGGGAAAATATTTGTCAAATAAAGTAAAAAAAAGTAATAAATTGTGATACAATTGAGAATTTACGTAATTTGAGGTGTTTACTGTATATAGCTATAAAAGCAGACTTTAGTTTTGTGTTTTTACTATAGATGTCGCGTTTGTCTGTATAAAATATTTATGTTATTCGTAAACATATTTAATCGTTACAACTTCGATAAATATCATAAATTATTAATATCGTCTCGTAATGGTATAAAACTCATAAATAATTGAAAAAAATGGTAATTTTACCAGGAAACATATTTACAATTATACACACATATTTTGTGTTTAGTCTAAGCAATAATTCACTTACAAGTCAATAGTGATTAATGATTTTTTAATTACACAAAGCAATTACGTTTTTTGAGTTTTTGGTTCATTACAATTTAATCAATATTTGTCCATTTATTCACTATGGAAATATTTGTGAAAATTGGAATTTGTAAATAAAAGATAATTAAATTTTCAAGTTTGTCAAAGCCTTATATAAAAATTCATTCATAATTTATTATTGAAATATGAAAAAAAAAATTAGTAAAAATAACAGTTTTTTTTTACTATTTATTGGAGTAATTGAAAAACGTTTTATATAATTATAAGCTTTTTAGTTAATTGAGTAAAATATTTATTAATTTTTAAATAACAATTAATTAGTATTAGGCATTAATATAAAAAGAAACAAATTTTCTATAAAAATAAATTAATATTGGAGTAAAAAATTGGTTGATTGATATTTGGTAAAACAAAAACATTAATTTATAATTAATATATTTATAATAAATCGTTATAGATATGAGAAATAATATTAATTAAATAAATCCATTTTCACCACAAATAGTTATTTTTTTTATATTTTTATACGAATTAATTCTTACTCTTTCCTTTGGATTCAATTGAGTCGTTTATAAATCAATTAGAAACGTTTCAAAATGTGAAATATTGTAATTAATCTTTTTGTTCGAGATTTCGCATCCTCCTCTCATCGAAATCGAAATGAATGACGACCTGCCTGCCGCGTGTTGATAAATGATGATGACTTTAGGCAATGGAACGGAATTGAAAGTTCGTAATTTGTATGCGAAAATTTATACAATATCATCCGATTCTTCATTCTTTAGACTATACAAAAAGAATATGCCCTCAATTATAATAAATAAATAAATATGTTACCTTTTCATTTCTATTTATTTATCATCAAATTTAATACAAAGAAAAACATTTCACTTTCAAACTCTTAATTTTTATCACACAATAAATAATATGATTTTATATTTCTAATAGTTTTCCTATTTTATATTTAATTGATAAAAAACGAATTCATTCATAAATTCAATTACTTCAAAATAAAGGACTGTAATAATTGTAAATTAATTAAATTTTCGAATATTACTAAGAAATCTATGGTATTTCCACATCAAGTAATGGAATTTACCAAATTTTCTTGAAACGCCATCTATTGTGAAAACAGTGAACTGTGCAAATTTGTTTCTTTTAAATAAATTGGTAGGATTGAATTGAAACTGGGTGTGGTCCATGCAGATTTGGTCCATTTATTGATTCGAAATGCTGTAATTTTGTAAAAAGATAATAATTAAATGTTCATTAAAAATTAATGAAATTTTCGTTTTTAACGATGTATTACGTAATAATTTAACGTTTTTATTTAATTTATATATAATTCAAGTATTTTACTAAGAATTGGCTTGGTTTATAGTAAAAATATATTATTTGTAATGATAATGTTGCAATTAATACTTACCATTTAAATATATTTTTTTTATTGAAACTATTGTCATTTTTTTTATTGGTATATTTTGAGGATTAAAATGGAGGTATTTTCGACTATGTTCGTCACATTTATTAAATTATATGATACATTCCTATATAATGGTTACATGTTGTAAATTGCTATTCGGACACGCACATTAAATTTCAAATAAAAAAGGTGTGATGTAAGCATTATAAACTTATTCCATGCGATCGGTGAAGTTCAGAATGGTGCCGAAGCTACGTCCCAACGGCTCGACAGCATCGCTTTCCTGAGGTGCCGCTGCATAGCTGAAACCTCTGACGCGATTCTCGTATCCGCTGGGATCGACCTTGAAGCTCTTCGCATTGTAGACGGAATCATGGCAGAAGACGCAGCTGAGCATCTTCAGCATCTCCTTGTTAGCAACGACCCTCAAATGAGAAGATATCTCCTCGTGGATGAGACGATTGGTCTCCTGCAGAGCCTTCTCGCAGCTGGTGTTGCCGTACAAGATGACACCCTTCTTGAAGGCGGTTCTCTTGATGAGAGCCACCCTATCGCAGTTGCAGTTCTTCGTAGTGGCCATCATCTTGTAAAGAAGTTTTTTTTTTCTCTCGAAACTCTGAAACTTGATTGATGTTAGTTTAGATGTCGGTACAGAATTGCAGTGCAGATGCGCCTCTCGGTGCACTACGTATACGATGCAGTCTCTTAAAATCGATACATCCGTCTACCACCCTGAAGCAACCAATAAACCAAGCGAAACGCCCTTAATTTTAGAAGAAATATACAGTTTACTTTATCTGTTAATTAACTCTGAATAGTTTCAAATTCTATAATTGACCGTAGTTTTGAATTTTCGAAATACGCAATTTATTCCATTAAAACGCCATCTATTATTAAACAACTGAATTATATACCTATAATTATAGTTAAATTACTAAATATAAAATTTACATTATTATTACAGATTTTTTTTAATTATTCTACAAAAAATAGAGTATTTTTTATTTCAGGTAATTAATTGATGAAATATATATATTTCTTTATTAATTACTTTTATTTCTTAAAAAAAACATTTGGTTAATTTATTAAAAATTTCTTGAAATCAACAAGCAAAAAAAACAAAATTTCTGTTGAAAAATTACTGTTTTCTTGTGGTTTTTACAAAGTAAGCAAAAGTAATATATAATTATGTACTAAACAGTATATAAAGTTTCCATAAGTAAATAGTGATGTATTAACTTTTAAAGAATATAGACGAAAAATAAATAATTTTCACATTACCGACATCTTTGTAGAATATTGAGAATTTAAATGATTTTTGTTTAATAATTTACTGTTTGGATTATTTCAATTTATAAAAAAAGAATAAATATAATTGAATAAATTATTGCTTATATACATGTTTGTTATATTTATATAAGAAAAGTAGTATTGAAAGTACCAACACAAATTTTCAAATTTGTCAGTTTTTGTATTGTAACCAATAGTATTATATAATACATAAAGTTTACATAAGTAAATTGTAATCTATACTACCGTCATCTCGTGGACAATTTGAAAATTAAACTTTACACTAAGTTTTGAATTGTAGTAATTACGCCCAAATATTGATAATTTAAATGATTTTTGTTGAAAAAAATTGTAGTTTAAATTATGTTATACTTAAAAAAATAATTCATATTTTACTTATATACATGTTTGTTGTATGTAAAAATAGTAATGAAAGCTCCAAGAAGAGTAAATTTTTTAATTTGTGTTGAAAATTTTCAGTTTTTATATTGTAACCAATAGTATTATATAATTATGTACTGAAGAGTACATAAAGTTTTCATAAGTAAAATTAAACTTTACTCTAAGTTATGAATTTTAGTAATTACGCCTAAATATTGAGAATTTAAATGATTTTTGTTTAAAAAATTACAGTTTATTTGAATTAATATAATTCAATAAATTTTGCTTCTCACATGTTTTTCTCGACTAATTTTAACAACTTTGAAATTAAATTAAGGATAAAATAAAACAAAATTGTTCTTTTCTTCATGTTAACATTTATTACAATGTATATTTTATAAAAAATAAATAGTACGTACATCGGATCGAACGTGAATGTAACTTTTCCTTGTAATTATCTGCAATCATTAATTATTACCAAAAAAAACTGCTCGTTTTTGGAACAATTATTGATGTGCAAATGGAAAATTGCATTCCGTTTCGACAAGATTTTATTTTTTTTTTTTGTATTAACTCAAGTTAAAGATGTTGTTTATAAATAAATGTTTCGTCAGTCCTCCTTATCCAGAACGATTTCCTTGAACCGTTCCAGCTCCAATTCGTAATCTTCGTTCGTCTGTTCCGTGTCCAGGCTAGTGTTTCCCTGATTCCTCGAGTAATTCGACGACGAGAACTTCACCGTATGCACAATTTTCTGGCAGAAGATGCAACGATCTTCGTAGTCTTGGAAATTGTTGTCCTGTATGTGTGATTTCACCGTTTGCCTGATGAGACTCGCAATCATCTGTCGTCTCAGCACACCGTTTTTTGGTTTCATCGCCCATACCGTTTCCAAAGCCCATGCCTTGATGAAAAGTACTTTTGAACAATTACAATTTACTGAATTTGACATTTTTATTCAATCACTTTCTTCCTATTTTTGTTATTAATCTTCTCTATGCAATTTTCGAAATTTTGCTGTGACTCTGCGCGTTTGATTAGCTAAAAAAAGTTGATTTTACAATATTGTTTTAGTACATATTTGTATATAATTTTACCTTTTTCCTTCCGTTACGTTCGTTTCATTCAGAATTTCGAAATTCGCTGTGATTTATCGGATTTGATAAAGGTGACTGGTTAAAAAGTACAAACGAATCCAAGAAACTAAACTGGCAAATAAAAAAAAGTAGTTGACAAAAAAATTATATCAATGTACAAATAAAAATTTGTGCAAATCTTTACAAACATTAACTTTCAGCAATTTCTAATATTTTTCTCATTCAATAAACACGTATTAATTAAATCAAATAATAGATTAATTTATACAAATTTTTAGTATTTATCAAAAAAAATTACAAAAATTTACTTGAAAACTTTTGATGCAATTTTTTGAAAAAAATTAAAGCAATATAAAATGAGTATTTTTTTATTAATAAATTATACTTATTTTTTCATTGTTATAAGATTATATATAAATATATTCTTTATGGTATTGCAAATTACATTTTTATTGTAATAAAATTAAACATAAAATAATAATTTATAAAGTTTTGATATCTTATGAACAATTTTGGTTATAGATAAATAACATATATATATATATTTTTTTGTAGAAAACATGTTAAAAATAAACACGAAACTGACAATAGTTAAAATTTCAGCAAGAAAGTGCGATTGTCGTTGATGATTGTAAATTAGTTACTGATTCTTCTTCTTCATAATATATTTTACGTAACGTTCTGAAAGGAAAGCAATTGCATCTGCTTCCATCATCCTGATCCATTCATCCTCTGATATAATGTAATTATCGTAAAAACGAAATTTGTCCTTCATGGATAACTTCACTATTCTAATGATATCCTCGAAATATCCTTTACTTCTCTCTTTCTGCGTATCCATTTTTGTATTGAAATATATCTGGAATTTAAAAGAAAATATATAAAATTTTAATTTATTTGAGTATTTTAGTCTTTATCTAATTTAAAATTAGATTTTTACAATTATAAACAAAATTTTGTTTTCAAGTATTATTTTTTCTATATTTTAATTTCTAGTAAAATACTCTAACAAACATATTGATTTCATTGTTCAAAGTTGATTTTATGGTGAAAAAGAAAAGTAAACTGAAAACAATAAAATTTATGGAAGAAACAAAATGACTTTTTTTCTTTAATTAACATTACTAATGTAAAGTATAGTCTAAAATTAAATTACTCGTCATTTCATTAATAGTATAATTATTTAAAAAAAAAATAAGCAACAAAAAATATATTTTTATTATAATTATTACTAAATTAAAAGCTCGTTAGAATTGGATAATTCACTGGAAAATGTGCATGTTGTTATTTTGAAATTAATCTAAGTATATTTACTTAGAAATGATACTAATGTAAAGTCATTATATTATAATTGAAGTAAACAAGAAAATATATGAATCATTTGTTGAAGTTTTAAAGAATTTCAATACTAAAGTTAAATGAAAATCTACAGATTTTTACAGTTAGTGTAAGTGGTTGCATACAATTTAAAGTTTAATTTAAACTAAATATTTCCCTTAAAATTAATTATTTTTTTTTACTATTTTAGAAATTTTGTTGCAATTTTAATTTTGTTTTAATTCAGTTTTTTTTTAATAAATTATTAAAGTATTTTCCAAAATAAATTTTGAATATAAAATTTGTAAATTTTCATTTAAAAGAAAAATTGAAAATTTTCTATTATAGTTATTTTGAGTTTTGTTTTACCTTTTTGGAGAATAACAATTTGACTGGGATGAGACCTTAGAAATATCACTGTATTTCCTAAAAATCTAAAATTTTGTTAAATTTTTTGAAAAACTGACAAATAAAAAGTTTCACAAAAAAAAATATGGTTTTCAAATATTTTTGATAAGTTTTGGGTATGTTTTGATACGAAGCAAAATCGAATGGAATTAAATCAATATACTATTTATTTAAAATATTCACAAATGATAAAAATCGCAATACACACACAAATATAAAACTTGAAACATTTAAACGAAATAAAAATATATCAATTAATTAAACTTTACTTAATGAAAAATGACTACAAAAACTTGACTTTGACTATGATCAGTTTTGTTTTTTTACAGTTATTACACTTCATCGGCGGTTTTGACTTCCATCGCATTTTCGTTTTCCTCTTTCGTCTCCGGATTCAAAGTCAATCTTTCGCTTAGCTCTTCGATCTTCTTAATTTCATTGCTTAAAGTGGGCTTGAACATCTTCTGATCAGCATTGTAGACTATTTTCGGTAAAACGCGTTTCTTGTTCATCCTCACTGTTTTCTTGGTCACGAATTTCTGGCAGAAAGGGCACTTACTGATGCAAAAGGTTTCTTTGGTGACGTTCTGCTTGTGCAGTGTGGCGAAGATCTTCTTCTTGATGTGCTGATAGACTTCATCGAAATGCTCCTTGCGATTGTTTAAGCCCATGCTGTCTGCGCGATCGTAGGCAGACTTCTTGGTGTTGGTCATCTCTTCGCAGTTGCACAGAAGCATAGTTGGTTTGCCCATGTTGATAGTTCGGAGGATGATTTTGAACTGAATACACCACCACTGTCACTACACTATTTATACTAGATACAGGTACATTTTGCTAAACCATTTAACTGGAATCATTACAATTGTAGGTCCTTTATTGGCACCCAAATTTTCGGAACGGTCTGTTCCCCGATTTCCTTTTTGACCTGCTGGTAAATGTCCTCGGGCGTGTCCCCTTCCACCACAGACGTAAAGTACCTGGAAAACTCCTCTTCTATGCTTGCAGATTTTTCAAGCATTTTCAGCGCTTCGCTTTCGGTCGTCCTTTTGTTGATTTCTCGGATCGAGTCTAAGGACTTTGGTTTCACGAATATCACGATCGGGTGCATCTGTGCCTTCTGCAGACGCTTTATTGCGCTGCCACTGACGTCCAGGATGCAGTATTTACCTTTCTTGACAATGTCCTTAACAGCTTCCAGAGAAGTACCGTAAAAGTTTTCGTTGAATTTCCCGGCTTCGATAAACTTGTTGTTCTTGATGTCCTCTTCCATGGATTCCACGAAATGGTAGTCTTGTCCGTCGATTTCGTTTGGGCGTCTTCGTCGCGTCGTGTGAGGAACGCAGCTGGCAAATGTATCTGGAAGTTCTGATAAGAGGTCTTCGATGATTCGGTTCCTCAAGAAGCCGAGGACAACTATGGGTCTCTTGTAATCAACGGCGATTTGATCAACAAGTTCATAAGTTAATATAATCTCGCTCTTCTCCTCGTAGATTATTTCTTGTTGCTCTATGATTATGTCTTGGTTCTTCACGAAAGGAAATTTCCTACTCAGCGTTAAGCTGCGACGTTTCAGCTGCTCGAACTTCACTGACCTCTCGCGTGACCTCTTCTTTTTCTCAATCCTACTCTTCGAAGGAATAAGCCCCACGTCGCCGTGCTCATCCATCATCTTCGCCTGCCACCAATCCTCATCACTAGCGTTTATCACGTATAGAATATCATTGCATTTAAAACCTAAACCTCGTCCGGGTAAATCGTTCTCCTTGAAAGGATTGTAACTGAACAAAGCGCGCACATAAAACGATTTCTTCTCGCACGTCCTGATCATCTTCCCAAACACTTTTTCTTTATACGCCTTCATCTTAGATTCGAAACACTTGTACTCTTCTCGATTATACAACACTTGCAAGGTGACATCCTGGTTGGGTCCTTTTAGTCCTCGCACGGCGTCGTCGTGGTTCGCGTTTCTCATGCAAACTCCATCGACGCTAATCAATTGATCGCCTTTCTGCAACTCACCGCAAACGTGCGCCGGACCACCTGGTGCTATGAACGATATGAAGATCTTCTCGCCACCTTCGCCGCCGATGATGTTGAATCCTAGGCCGTTGGGGCCCTTCGTCAGGAATATAGTCCGCACGTTATCCATTTCACTGTCCTTTTGAAAACTAA